AGGGCCCCCTGCAGGATCCTGGGGCCGGAGCCCTGACGAGGGTCTCTCGGGCCAGGCCAGACCGCCCTGCACATAGCCGCCGTGAACCAGAATGTGAACTTGGTGCGAGCCCTGCTCGCCCACGGGGCCAGCGTCTCCGCCAGAGCCACGGGCATGGCCTTCCGCCGCAGCCCCCAAAACCTCATCTACTTCGGTGAGCGCCAGGCCCAGGGCTGGGGGCAGAGGGGGGCTCCACGCCTGGGAGGATGGGAAAGGCCTGGGGTCAGCCCACACAAGGGTGAAGGCCAGAGGCCAGGACCTGGTCCCGCGTCCCTGCCTCTGGTTGTGCCGACCAGTGTCCCCGAGCGCAGAGCTGAGGCGTGGGGGAGGCCAGCCCTGGGGTCTGCCCTGGGGTCCTGGCTCTCAGGCCACGGCCCCTCGTCCCCCAGGGGAGCACCCTCTGTCCTTTGCTGCCTGCGTGGGCAACGAGGAGATTGTGCGGCTGCTCATCGAGCACGGAGCTGACATCCGCGCCCAGGACGCCCTGGGTGAGGCTGCGGTGGGGGAGGGCCGGGGGGCTAGGGAGGGTGGGGCCAGCAGCCTGGGCCTGGGGAGCCCCCTGTGGGTTTCAGGGACCTCAGGCCCATGGTCACGTGCCCCCGCGCCCCCCAGGAAACACGGTGCTGCACCTCCTCATCCTCCAACCCAACAAGACCTTCGCCTGCCAGATGTACAGCCTGTTGCTGTCCTACGACGGGCGCGGGGACCACCTGCAGTCCCTGGAGCTGGTGCCCAACCACCAGGGCCTCACCCCCTTCAAGCTGGCCGGGGTGGAGGGCAACACCGTGGTGAGTGCCCCCCACCCCCAGGCCTGCAGATGCCCTCGCCCGACACGCCTGGTCTCCGAGAAACAGACACACATGGTGTCCTGGTGTCCCGGAGCTTAGGGCCACCTCAGATGGCCCTTCCCTGTGGGCTGGCTGCCTCGTTGCCTTCTTGCCCATTTTCCCTCCGGGGTGCTGAGGCTCATGGAGTCCGGGCCCCACCCTGGGCGCTCTGTGACCCCCACGTGCACCTGCCCTTCCGGCCCACAGAGCAGCCCCAGGCTCTCGGCTCCTCTTCCCAGGCTGCGGAGGGACGTCCAGGGAGCGGAGGGGTCCTGGCGCCGGCGTGACCCCTCCTGCCCCGAGGCTGGGGGCAGAACGGAGCCGCCCCTGACTCGCCTGTGCCCCCAGATGTTCCAGCACCTGATGCAGAGGCGCAAGCACATCCAGTGGACGTACGGGCCGCTGACCTCCACGCTCTACGACCTCACGGAGATCGACTCCTCGGGGGACGAGCAATCCCTGCTGGAGCTGATCATCACCACCAAGAAGCGGGAGGTGGGGGTCTGCGGGGGCCGGGGCCCAGCGGGCGGGAGGCGGGGGTGGGGGGAGCGGCTGGCTCCATGCCCTCCCGTGCAGGCGCGGCAGATCCTGGACCAGACGCCCGTGAGGGAGCTGGTGAGCCTCAAGTGGCGGCGGTACGGGCGGCCGTACTTCTGCGTGCTGGGCGCCATATACCTGCTGTACATCGTCTGCTTCACCATGTGCTGCATCTACCGCCCGCTGAAGCCCAGGAGCAGCAACCGCACCAGCCCCAGGGACAACACCCTCCTGCAGCAGAAGCTTCTGCAGGTGACCTGGGGCGGCACCGCTCTGGGTGGGGGGCGGCTCCACGCCCTTTCTCTGGTCCTGTCTTGCACCCCACGTGCCCCCCAGCCCCTCCCTTGCCGGTCTAAAAGGCACAAACCCAACATGCATGCTCCCTGCAACACACACAATCGCCCCAAAGCAGCACAAGGTGGCCAAGCCCTTAACAGCAATCTGGGGGGCGGGAGCCTGGGCAAAGGACACTGACCCCTCCAGGCAGAGGCCCGGGGCCCCTGAGTGTGCTGACCACGTGTCCCCCTCAGGAGGCCTACATGACCCCCCAGGATGACATTCGGCTGGCGGGGGAGCTGGTGACGGTCATCGGAGCTGTGGTCATCCTGCTCGTAGAGGTGCGGCGTGGACGGGATTCCGGGGCGGTGTGGGCCCCCGCGCCCCGCGGGCTCCCTCTGCAAGCACCTTGCTGTGTCCCTGGCCTCCTTCCAGATCCCAGACATCTTCCGGGTCGGGGTCACACGCTTCTTCGGGCAGACCATCCTCGGAGGGCCGTTCCACGTCCTCATGTGAGTCTCCTTCCTCTCCCCGGCCCCCTTGCTAGAGCCGCGCTCTCCCTCCCTGGGCTCCTGAGCTCTGGAGAGCCCCAGCCCCAGGGCGCCAGGCAGCGTGCGGCCCTGTGCACGGAGCTGGCGGAGGGCAGATCTGAGTGTCCGAGTCACACTTGCCCTCGGCCCCTGCGATCCGAGTGTCCGAGTCACACTTGCCCTCAGCCCCTGCGCAGCCCCAGGCCCCTCTCACCCGCCCTCCGCTCCCCCAGCATCACCTACGCCTGCATGGTGCTGGTCACGCTGGTGATGCGGCTCACCAACGCCAACGGGGAGGTGGTGCCCATGTCCTTCGCCCTGGTGCTGGGCTGGTGCAACGTCATGTACTTCGCCCGCGGATTCCAGATGCTGGGCCCCTTCACCATCATGATCCAGAAGGTCCGTGTCTCCTGTAAGCCGCCTCGAGAGAGGGCTCCAGGGGCGCCAGCACTTCCGTGGAGGGCCAGGCAGTCGCGGGTCAGGCTTCCCAGGCCTGGGGGCCTCTGCTGCTGTTCTTGTTTCTCTCTGCCTTCGCCTCCTCTCTGCCTCCGACCTTCCTCTTTTTTTTTAAAGATTTATTTATTTATTTATACAAGCACTGGGTACAGTCAGAAGTGCGGGTTGGGAGGGTGAGAGAATCCACCAGAGCCAGAGGGGAGAGCAGAGCTGGCAGAGTGACAAAGTACACTGCTGAGGGGAGCAGCGGGCGGCAGGAGAGGTCTGCGCACCATGTGGGACCCTCGCCCAGTGGCCGGGGATCAAACCGACGCTGCAGAGCTTCGCAGCCCAGCGCTCAACGGGAGGCCCGCTTCCTCTTCTTTCAACTATGGAGAAACGGCTCTGTGGGCTGCAGCAAACAGGATCTGGAGCGTGGCCTGCAGGCCAGGGCGCACCTGTCCTGGGGCGGAGCCGCCAGCGGCTCAGTCAGGCCTGCAAGGGGCTGCAGGGGCAGTTGCACCAGGGACCAGTGTGGAGACGCCCTCCCTCCCCTGCCTCCCTCTAGATGATTTTTGGTGACCTGATGAGATTCTGCTGGCTGATGGCCGTGGTCATCCTGGGCTTTGCCTCAGGTAAGGCATCTGGCCAGGAGGGGAGGGGGGGCTGGAGGAGCGGCAGGAGCAGAGAGTAACTCTGGATAAACCTGGAGTGGGGGACGCAGAGGTCAGAGGCCCTCTGAGGATGGCACGTCCTTCAGAGTGAGGGAAAGCTGGGCGCATCGGGGAGAGACGGCTTGCGGGGCCAGGAGGATGGGGCCTCTGGAGATAAGGAAGCCAAAGTGTCGGGGATGGAGGGCTGGGCCGGGATACAGGAGATGAGGGACGTGGAGCTGAGATGGGCAACACAGAGCTGCCTGTGGTGGAGGATGCGGTTGCCATGGTAACTCTCACCCCCTGGGGTGGAGCAGCCTTCTATATCATCTTCCAGACGGAGGACCCCAACGAGCTGGGCCATTTCTTCGATTACCCTATGGCCCTGTTCAGCACCTTCGAGCTTTTCCTCACCATCATCGACGGACCCGCCAACTACGATGTGGACCTGCCCTTCATGTACAGCATCACCTACGCCGCCTTCGCCATCATCGCCACGCTGCTCATGCTCAACCTCCTCATCGCCATGATGGGCGACACCCATTGGCGGGTGGCCCATGAGCGGGACGAGCTCTGGAGGGCTCAGGTGAGGGCCCTGGTGGCGGGGAGGGCTAGTGCCCTTCACCCCCTCCCTGTCCAGCTGGGAGGGAGGCACGGAATTCTGCCCCCAGACGTGTAAGGACAGTCACTGCCCAGTCCAGAAGGCTGCAGAGCACAGAAGCTGTGGGCTTGCAGCCCGGCCGAGCCCCACTGTGACAGGTGGTTCTGGAAGAAAGCCTCAGTCCTTTCTAGAATAGTCAGCAAGGACAAGAGGGGCAGGAAGTGAAGTAAATGGTGATTGACACTAGATTGGGTAAATTCCGTTGCTGAGTGAACACTGAAGTGTCGCATCGCCTTGGTGATATTGAAGCCTGCAAAATCTGACCCAGAAAAATTGGGGCTGTTCAAAACAAGGCCACAAAGGCTTCTCGAGAAGCAGGCGCTGATTCCCTCGGTCACCACAACGGAGACAAAAGATCATCCAATGAATCACATTGTCATTTTCATATATACTTAGAAAGTCATTTATCTCCACAAAAATAATTTCATCCACATAAAAATGGAAGGCCCCCACACAAGGCGGCAGGGACCGGTGGGTGCTCTGTGCGACATGGAAGGCAAGACACCCGCACGCCCAGCGGGGCTTGCTGAGGGAAGCCCCCTTGTCGTGCCGATGGGCGGCCTGGACGTCTCAGGCCTGTCCATGTTTGTCAACAGCCTTCAGGGCTGCCGGGCCAAGCGGCCTCGCGCTCTCAGGAGCCCCTCCCTTGCTTAGCCAGGGGCTCAGCATCCGCCTGGACAGCAGATCCGGGGGGAAGAACTGGGGGCTCCAGTCCCATCGGCCCTCCCCTGTGGAAGTGGGCAGCATTGTAAGGGTGGCGTGACCTCTGGGAGACCTGGAGTGCCTGCGTTTCTTGTTGTTCTGCTGTCCTCCCTCTGCCCAGCCCCCTGCCGCCCCCCCACCCCTTCTCGGTCTGCGCCCAGCCCGGTGGCCTCACTGATTTCCCCCCTGCGCCCACACGCAGGTCGTGGCCACCACAGTGATGCTGGAGCGCAAGCTGCCTCGCTGCCTGTGGCCTCGCTCCGGGATCTGTGGGCGAGAATACGGGCTGGGGGACCGCTGGTTCCTGCGGTGAGTGCTGGGGCGGGGGGTGGGGTGAGGTGGGGGGGTTGGGGTCCTGCTGTCCAGAGAGCCTCCTGCTCCCTAGGCCTGTTCCAGAAGCTGCCACTGCGGGGAAGGCGCCCCTGAGAGCAGACCAGGGCAGCAGCTCCCCAAGGCCTAGCGCCCAGACCAGAGGAACCCAGAGGCCAGCCGCGCGGGGCTGGGGTGCAGAGGGGAGACCGGCCTGGGGTCTGCCGGCTCTCAAGCCTCTGGGTTCCGCAGGGTGGAAGACAGACAGGATCTCAACCGGCAGCGGATTCGGCGCTACGCACAGGCCTTCTACAACCCCGGCGCCGACGACTTGGACAAAGACTCGGAAAAGCAGCTGCCCAGCCGCACCTTCGGCCCCCACCTGTCCCTTCCCACCCCCTCCGTGTCCCGGAGCACCTCCCGCAGCAGCACCAACTGGGAGAGGCTTCGGCAGGGCACCCTGAGGAGGGAGCTGAGGGGCTTGGTGAACAGGGCCCTGGAGGATGGCGAGGGCTGGGAGTACCAGATCTGAGGGCACACCCCTGCCACGGCCACGCCACGCCCCAGGCCGGGCAGGAGAGGCCTGGATGGAAAGGACTGAGGAACGCAGCTGGCCTCTCCACCACGGAAACCCAGAGGACCTGGCCTGTCCCCTGTGGAGGACGCGCCCTGGCGGGTCTGACCCGAGTTCCCTGCACTGTCAGCAAAGCACTTTACCGAAGGGCTGGCCTCGGGCACCCAGCCCCGCCCCCGGGTCACAGTGGGAGGGACGGCCCTCCCCAGGGTGCTCAGACAGCTTCCGGAGCGGGTGGGGGGAGCGTGGGAGTCGGGGAAGGTACTGCTTTGGAGGGTGGTCGAAGCCTTCTAATAAAGTCGTTACCTGCTCTGCCCTGGCCTCCTGCTCCCTCCCGCAGCCCTGTCCTCCGCCCGTGCTCCCAAGTGCTCCCAAAGACCCCCGACCCCCCAACAGAGCTGTTCCCCAGACTCAGGCCTCGCCACACCTCGACTTGCAAACTCCCTTCTTTCCCTTTAATGTGGGGGAGGGCACGGAGGGCAGAGGGCTGGGGGCCAAGTGTCCGGAGGGTGGTAGGCCAGGAGGAAGCTGGCTCCCGTCTCCCCTGTCTCTTGTGGACCTGCGTCTAGGGCCAGGCACGGGCACGGGCAGTTCACGGGTCCAGCCGGGGCCTCAGACCTCCACTGAGCCCAGCGGCCTCAGGTGCTGCTGGAGGAGCTGGACGTTGTGCAGCAGCTTCTTCTGGTGGCCGGCCAGCGTGATGCCCAGCGCAGGCAGATCTCTGGTGGGGAAGGAGTGGGTCACCTCCGGGCCAGCTTCTCCAAGATGACAGGCCCGGCCCCTGGCCTAGGGCCTGGGGAACCCCCTGCCCGCCCGTCCCTGCTTACTCCAGGCTGAGCTGGGCCACATCACTGAAGGTATGAAGGCCAAACTTGGAGAAGTTTTCCCGGTAGCACTCCAGCCCGATGGCTGAAAGCCAGGCCTGGGGCGAGTCCAGAGAAGGGAAGTCCAGGGCCACCGGGTTCAGAAGGGCCTGGGAAGGTCTGCTGGGGGGGAGCAGGCAGATCAAAGTCCCCTCTTCATCTTGGCCCCCTCTCCTGGGTTTCCTTTTTGGTTAGTGTCTCCCTCCCTGGCTTTCCCAGGCTCCAGCCCCAAGCTCCAGACCTGTCCCCGGGGCCCCCGCCAGCCTGCAGAGTGTCGGGCTTGCGGATCATCTTGTCAAATGCAGCCACCAGCTGGTCAAAGTGGGGCCGCTGGGTGCGGTCCTTCTGCCAAGTGTCCAGCATCAGGAGATGTAATCCAGGAGGACAACCTGGAGGCGGGGGCAGCCGGAACTCCTGTTCTATTGCATTTAGTACCTGGGGGTCAGAAGAAGAATACTGGGGGGCAGCTATTGCGAGCGGAAGGAAGCATGTTGTCAGGCAAGGGGTGGCCTGGGATCAGGAGGAGTGTGAGGTTGGGGTGGAGAAGGAACTTAAAAATACGGGAAACAAGGGCCCATGACCTCGGACTGCGGGTGGGGAATTTGAGCGCTAGGTTAGAAGTAGAATGAGAACGTGTCTGGGAGGCTGCAGGCTAGCCAGCTGGGGGGCGGGGGGGCAGCCAAGGGGGGACGGTGAGCCAGCCACGTCTACCAAGGGCTCACCTCCTGGTCGCTCATGTCCCAGTAGGGCCGCTCTCCGTAACTCATCACCTCCCACATCACGATTCCGAAGCTCCAGACGTCGCTGGCGGTGGTGTGCTTCCCGTGCGTGATGACCTCCGGGGCTGCCCAGCGAAGCATGCAACTCGGGCCCTGGAGGAGGCGCGGGGAGCAGCATCCATAAGGCGGCCGTGGTCGCATTCGCCAGCCTGATCCTCCCAGTGCCCTCTCCAGATCTCAGCAGAGGGGCGGGGGGTGCTGGGCTCAGGAGTGGCACCCAGCTGCTCTGACGTGAGCCTCCGCAGCTCGTCCACACTAGTCGGGGCTCTAGGTGCCCCGGGTCCATGACTTCCATCCCTGAAACCCCTCAAGCCTCTCACCCCCCACCCACTTCCCCACTCAGGACTCCATCTCCCTACGCCCAGGTGAGCGCCATCCCTCGAGCACTGGCGTGTGTCACCTGAGCCCCTCCCCACCCCCAGCTGCATCTCACCTGCGGACTATGGCCAAGACGGGCCACCTTGCACACCAGGTGGCTGTTCACCAGCACGCTGTGAGCAGAGAGCGCGCGGTGGACGAAGGCGAAGCTGGACAGGTACTGCATGGCGGCGGCCACGCCCCGCTGCATGGCCACCAGCTGCAGGCTGCTGAACTGGCCCTCCCGCTGCTGAGGGGCCGGGGACAGAGGTCAGCTGGCACCAGCACGGGAGGGCACGGGGCTTGGGAATTGGAGAGCGGTCTGGGATGGAAGGATGAAGACGACAGGACAGGAGGTGGGGCGCAAGGAACCAAGGGAGGGGCTGTCTCCCGGGTCAGTTAAAAAAATGCATGCTCCCGGGCCCCCGCCACCCACCCCTCGGCCCCACTGACCCTCAGGAAGCTGTCCAGGGGGCCCAGCTCCATGAGCTCCGTCAGCACCATGAGGGGCCGGCTCTTGGTGACCACGCCCTCAAGCCGAAGGATGTTGGGGTGCTGGAACTGGCCCAGCACGGCCGCCTGGCCTAGAAAGGCCATCTGCAGGCTCTCTGCGCCCCCGGCCCACAGGGCCTGGATGGCCACCGCCTGCTCCCGCCGGCCGCGGGGCTGCAGCCGGCCCCGGCGCACTTCTCCGAAGGAGCCTGGGGCAACAGAAGTCGGCTGAGGGACGCGGGGACGCAGGAGTACCAGGCCGGGGTGACGCAGGGAGCCCCGCTTTCCCCGCCTCCCCCTGCCAGACCTTTCCCCCTCGCGTACCGCCAACCCCCACATCCCCGTCACCCCCATCCAGCAGTACCTGCCCCAATAACCTCCTCTATCTTGATGTACGCGGGGTCCACCTCCCTGGAGAACTCTCGAATGGCCTGGCCGGGGTCCTCATAGGTGGAGGGGTCGATGTAGTACTTCACCCCCAGCCCTGGGGTTTGAGGGGCGCTGGTTATGCAGCAAGGCTGGGCTCCTGACCCTCGGGGGTGCCCTCGTCCTCCTGAAGACGGTGCCCAGGAGCAGCCCTCCTCCCGGGGACCCAGCCTGGCCTGGCGCGCCCCCCACCCGCGGCCCCGGCCCACCTGGGCTGCTGTACTGCTGCAGCTGCTCCGTGTAGCCCGTGCCGCGCCGCTTCCTGCGGACACGCCAGCAGTGACCCTGCTGCCCCCCGCCCCTCCCGACGCCCACGCAGGCTGCCCCCCGCCCCGGGCACCTGTGGTGGCATCGCGCCCTCCTTCCCATCTCCGCGTGGCCCAGGGAAGGGGCTGGGGCGGGGGGCGTCGGCGGGGGCTTCTGCAGTGGGCCTTGGGGTCCCCAGGACTTGGGGGTGTGCTGCAGCATGAGGGGGACTGAGGCGGGGGGCGTTCACCTCTGGAAGACCACGGCCAGCACGGTGATGGCCGCCAGCAGCAGGAAGGCCAAGGCCCCCAGGATGGAGCCGATGACCAGGGAGAGCCTCTCCGGGAGCTGGGCGGGCTGCTCACCTGGGGGGCAGCGCGGGGTCACGCGTGGGCAGGCCTCCCGGCACCCCGGGCCGAAGGTCGGGGCAGCCAGCACGCCGGCACACACCCCCAGGGCCGGCCGGGGGCAGGGCTGTGGGCCTGTGCTCACCCCTCCTGCCCAGGCCCCCTCACCCCTCCCGCCCAGGCCCCCGCACCTTGAGGCAGCGTCTGGAAGTAGACCTTGCCCCCGTAGGGGCCGTGGCCGGCGGCCGTCCGCGCCCGCACCTGGAAGCCATAGATGTGGCCGGGGCTCAGCTGCGTCACGGTGGCCGTGTTGGTCTCGCTGGTCAGGGTGAGCGAGTGGGACTCGTCCTCCGCCTGCGGGTCACAGCCGCTCAGACCCTCGGCCCTGCCCGGCCCCTCCCGCCCCCAAGGGGCCCTGGGGGGGCCAACAGACTCAGACGCGCCCACCCGCGGCTGCCAGGCCCACCTGGGGCGAGTGAGCGCCCAGCTTGGCGCGCCCTCCTCCCCACCTGGTCGTAGTAGCGGAGCTGATAGTCCAGAATGTTCCCGTTGGTCTGCTCGGGCTGCGGCCAGGACACAGTGATGCTGTTGGAGGCCCTGCTCACTTGGTGCACCGCGGGGACTGCAGAGGGAACTGGAGGGGGGGTTAGAGGGGAGCAGGGCCACCCCTGGGCATGATGGGGGGCAGGCTGGATGGGGAGCAGGGGGCTGGAGAGCAGGAGGGGGTTCTGAGGAGGTGAGGTGGGTGCAGTGAGGCTCACCTTCGTGGCTGGTGCTGACGTTGATGGCTGCAGCCTGGGGAGGGTTGGGGCTGAGCTCTGACACCCCGTTGACAGCCTGCACCTCCAGGATGTAGGGTACATGTGCCCGGAGCCCCCCGACTAGCACGCGGCTCTCCGTCAGGCCCCTCTGGCGGGGGTCGAAGTGCACCTCATCCCTGCAGCGGCGACACGGGCCCCTGCCCCCGGGCTCCTGGCGGGCCCCACATTCCTTGCACACCACGTTGAAGAGCAGGTCACCTCGGCCCCCCAGCTCCTGGGGCAGGCGCCAGTGCAACATGAGCGCGGAGCCTTGCACCTCGAACCAAAGCTCCCGGGGAGCCGATGGTGGGCCTGGAGGGGGTGGGGCAATTGGAGGAGGCGGCAGTGAGGCCGGATGGTCGTGGGGCAGGGGAGACAGAAATCGTGGCGTGGGAGGGGGGACCAGGCCCAGGAGGCAGGTGGGAGGAGAGAGGCAGGAGGAGGGCCAGGTAGGAAGGGAGGAGGAGGTGCGGGGCAGGGAGAACAGCCCGGGCACAGGAGAAAAAGAAGTCACTGCAAATGCAAACCAGACCCCTGATTCTCCTGGCCCCACCCCCAGCCCTGTTTGCTTGTTTGCTTGCGCCCCTGGGGCAGGAGGGGACTCACCCGTGCAGGGGGCCTCAGGGGGGTCGGAACTAGCCCGGTAGAAGCCGTCCAGGCAGGGGCAAATGGGGGCTGCAGGGTCAGGAGCCTGGCTGCGAGCAGGGCAGGGGGTGCACGGGACATTCCCAGCCTTGGCCTTGTAGGACCCCCCAGGACAGGCTGAGGAGCGGAGGGGGTGCAGATGTCAGGCTCACCATGCCCACTGCCCCTTGAGCCCCGCAGACCTGCACACTGGCGCCCTCCCCAGGGCCTGGCCTCCTTCCCGGGGGACCTATCCCCACCCCTCTCTTCCTCCTGCAGGCAGGTTATTCTGCCTTTCGCTGGCGTGGAACAGCATTTCCCTGGATGCGAGGAGTGAGGTGCGGTGGGGGCCTGGGGGCCCAGCTCCAGCTGAAGGTGTCTGGCTTGATTGCATAACCTCCCCCTGCAGAGCCCTCCTGCAGCTGCCACTCAGCCGAGCACCACTCTCCTGAGCTGCAACCCCCCTCCCCGCCCACTCCCCGCGTCCTGGCCCCGACCCTGATCCCTAACCAAATGGAGACAAAAGAACCCAAGAGAACCCAGGAGTTTTACTCCTTCTAGCTGCATCCCTTCTCAGGACTACAGCCCCAGAATCCTCAGCAATTGCTGTGGAAGTCTCCAGAAGATTCTAGAAATTTCAGGTGAGCGGGTGAGAACAAGTGTGTGTGTTTTAGGGGAAAACAGGAGTCCTTTCCTCAAATAACTTATTCTTCCTGACCCTCTGGGTACAAAATGAAGTGTGGGGTATTCAGCAGCAGAGCCTGCAGGTGGGGAGGGGGCAGAGGGAGGCCATGGACGAACGCCGGGGGTGGGGTCTCACCTTGGCAGGCCTTGTCTCCACGCGCCGGCTGGTGCCCAGGCTGGCAGCGGCAGCCCCCCACGGACACCATCCACTTGCCCTCCCCGTTACAGTGCAACCTGGGGGGGCTGCCCCCAGCCTGGACACCCCCTCCATCCTCCTCGGGCTCCGCGTGCGTCACACAGGTGCCCACGGCCGCCACCAGGGACGCTCCTCCGGCGCCGCTGGCCTGCGTCTCGGGGAAGGCGGCGAAGGCACGGAGCACAGAGGGGCAGACATAGGAGAAGACCTTGATGGCCACCAGCGCCAGGCAGGCCCCCGTGTCCTGGAAGGCCACGTAGAAGCCCCGCTGCGTGAGGGGGCCGAAGCTCCTCTCCTTGACATTCAGCTGCAGCCCGGCCCGCTGCCCTGCCCCAGGGGGCCCCACGGCCCAGGCCGAGGCGGCGGGGAAGCTCTCATCCGCCGCGATCGTGTCCACCTTGGTCCAGCGTTTGAGGTGCCAGGCCGAGACGCTGCCAAGGCTGTCGGGCTCCTCGGCCTGGCGGTAGTAAAGGGTGAAGGTCTCCCGGCAGGTGCCGCCGGCCACCCCCAGGCTGGAGCAGGCCCGCACGGAGAAGTGGAGGCGGATGTGCGCCCTCTGCGCCCCGCCCCGCTCCACGAAGTGGGTCTGCAGCCAGTTGTCCTGCCCGGTGCCCGCAGGGGTCCCAGCCACGTGGCAGGCCTCGAAGGTCCGAGTCAGGCGGCGCTGGTCATCCAGGACGCTCACCTCATCCCACTGCAGGGTGGGAGACAGCGTTAGCTGCTGGGGGGCTCTGGGGTGGGGGGCACAGCTCTCCACTGAGACTTAAAAGTAGTGATGTGCAAAGCCCAGTTCCTTAGAGGCAGGGTCTCTGCCCAGGTTTCTGTCCTGAATGCTGCGCTCCCGGGGGTGGGGGGGTAATGGGTGCAGAATGAGGGGGCACTCACCCCACCAGGAGGGTAGGTGAGCCAGCCAATCTCAGAGGTCTCTCCAGTGGTGTCCAGCAGCACCTCTGCCCAGAGAGAAGACGAGGCACCCAATGGCTACACCTCCAGCCGGCACCCCACCCATGCCCATCTGCAACTTCCTCCGGGCGTACATTTCACTGGGACCCCTCATTCCATTCGCTTCCCGCTTCTGACGTCCTCACCAGTACCTTTGCTGAACCCCTCCCTCTCCCACCTATGCCAGGTCTCCTGCCTCTTACCTTCCAGGGCCAGACCTGAGGACACCAGCACCAGGACCCACAGACTGCACACCATGCCCGCCGCTCTGCTCCCTGCCTGGGCAGCCCCCTCAGTAGCCATGGGGCATCTTCAGGGACCCCACCATTGTCCCGGCCACCAGCCTGTGCCCAGGCAAGGCTGCTGCTTTGCAAGACTGGAGGTCAGCGGCCACACTTGCCCCTAGGGAGACAGAGAGGGCCTGAAGGGGCGGGTGGGAGGTACCTGCACTGCTTCTGGGTGGCCCAGGCTCCCAAACCTGACCATGCACCTCCTCCTCCAGCTTTTAACACTGACCCAGCCCAAGTAGGGGGTGAGGGCCAGCAGGGAGCACGCAGTCTGCCATCTCAGGGGGTTAAGAGCCACCCGCTCTGCCCTACGCCCCTCGGAGAGCCCTCTCCCACCTTTGGTTCTCATTTCCCTCCTTCCTCCAGCACTGGGGAGCTGTGCCCATCTTACCCTCTTCTGGAAGGAGTGATTCCAGTCCTTGCTCTTCATTTACTCTCCTGTCTCCCTCCTACAGCGTCCCTGCAGAGGACGTAGGGATAATCTGCTCACTCAGAGCAGATGGGTTTGAAGCTATTCCTTCCCTGGGGTCACATGATCCCCTTCCCCAACACCACCAGCCCCCATCAGACTTGGACCCTTTAGACATTTCAGAGAGGCAGTGAAGCGAAAAGGACTGCAGAAGGAGCACCTTGGGGTGTGATGGCAGACAGGGTATGAGAACAGATGCAAGAGAGCCTGGGCATAAAGATTCCGGCTGCTCAATGAGCCGGTGTGGAGGAGGGAAGAAGCTGTGCGGCTCTGGCACAGACGTTGTGGGAACAAAGGTCCTCGCTCCCCAAGGGGCATCTTTTCTATGGCTTCCAGGAAAAACAGCATCCACCTTGAGTACAGGAAAAGATGCTTGCCGTCTGCCCACAACGAAAGGAAGAAATATGGAAACAGCAGCGCCCTGTCCTCTAGATCAGTTACGCCCAGGGAGAAGGTGAGGCAAATAGGCTTTCTTGTATGCATCATGCTTGGGGGGACAAACTGGTAGATCCTCTTGGAAGGCCAAGTGGACTGTCCACCCAGCAGCTTTGCTGCTAAGAATCTGTCCTCCAGCTACTGTACACTTGGGTCTGTGCACAGATGTTAGAACCGGGCTATTTGCTGTAGAATTGTTTGTAAGGGAAAAAAAGGCCGTAAGCTAACTCTTCATCTTTAGGAAGATGGTTAAAAAATTAGGGCACAAGCTTAAAAAGGAGTAAGGATGACTGTTCGTGTCCTGAGATGAAAGTAATTTCTAAGTGCAAGCAGCACAGAGCAGAACGGTCCAGAGCACACTCCCCGATGAGAACTTAAGGATATGCATATACATATACAAATGCATGGAACACATACATGCAGGTCAGGCTCTTTGTGTTTATCTTCTCAGGACCTAGGATGGAGGCTGTTACAGGGAAGAACTACTCCCACTACATTCTCTCTAATTTTTGTATTTGAAAAAATCTTGTCTATGCAATTTTCTCAATTTAAACATTAATTAGAGTTTCCTTTAAATCTATACATAGTAACTTCTTAGTAAAATGGATCAAAATAGTGTTCAGACTTCAAAACGGTATCTCAGAACTATGAAACAAGCTCCCCTTTATACAGCCCCCCCCTCAACCCCTCAGCCTCTGGAAGCACATGACTTCAGTTCATACTTCAGTTCATGGCATGTGCACAGAGGCTGGCACCCTGTTGGGTCGCAGTGCAAAAGGGGCCCAGATCTTCCTCTGCTTGTTGGGCTAGAAATCTGTGGTGACCTTTCGCTCCTTATGACCAAGTCTCCAAAGTCAGCATTGCATGAACAAGATCAGTAGATCTCACTTACTTCTGTTGAGAAGGAAAAATGCAGGTTGTAGAATAAACAAAACAGCCCATAGGAAGCTGGTTCCTGTTTCCTCCTGGATATCTGTGGCTACCAAAAATGACACATTTCACAATGAAGCCGAAACCAACTATTAAAAGATATGTAACTTTAAGAAATATGAAAATCATTATTTGATATTTATCAATCTAGTTTTTTTCTGGTCTTGCCAGCAATAAAGCCTTCAGGGTTGTCTCTATGGGACACCCTCCCAATATACACGTATGGGCTGAGGGGTGGTGGGTATCTGGAAAGTTCCTTTCATGCCTCTAGCACTCTCTTTGTGAAACAGAGTGGACTTATGGCATGTGGAAGCAAGGAAGAAACATTTCCAAACCATCACCTTGTACACAAAGTTATAAGGTGCACAATGTTACATCTCCATAAACCATTTCCACACAACAAATTATTCCTAAGAAATAGAGGCTGTCCCAGATGCTTCTAGAATCATCCACTGATTAAATAAATGCTTCAAAGAACAGGGAGATCAAGAAGTAACAGCATGGCCCCATCACCGATGGCCATTTAATAAATATCCTGAAGTAATTCATATTGTAGGGACACTCCCACACAGTCTCTCAATGGTTTGACACACCAAAGCTGACCCGATTCTGTCCAAGGCATAGAATCTTTAGGAATGTGATTATCAAGAACTGAAAATGCCAGCAAAAAGTCTTCAAACAATGAAGGCTATTATATCATGTGCACAGCAGATATTTTTTAAAATAGCCTCTTTCAGTCAGAACACGGATGGACTCTGGAGTCTGTACAAAGAAGAAGCTATAAGTACTGTGTCTTCCTAAGCTTATAAGTAGATAAATAATCATGAAAGGGAATGTTCAACACTGGATACAGCTCAATGAATTTTTTCGAGGGACAGCAAACAAGAAAGAAAAGATGCTCTGCCGATAGTTTCAACTGTGCAGTGTGGAACATTCTAGAAGACGTGGAATGACAAAGAATCTGCAATGATGACCCACAATGCAGGGAACACAGTTGCTTGTGGCTGCAATAGGCTGTGTGTGCGTGGTCTCCACTCACATCTTGATAACAATATGAAGCTGGCGTCTCTCCAGAAGATCCAGAAAAGAGCAAAGGCAATTATGAAACATGTTAAAACCATTCTGCTTCTGTCATGAAGAGGGATTAGAAAGAAAAGAATAGGATGGAGACAATGATGTGGATTGCTACTTCAATCATCTTTTGAAATTTCACAAAGAACAAAGATATTCATTAAAATGAAACAGTTGGGGGCCTCCCTGGTGGCGCCGTGGATTGAGTGCCGAGCTGTGAAGCTGTCCGCAGCCTCTTCAGCACAGGTTCGATTCCTGGCCTCCAGGGAGAATCCCACATGGCACAGCAGGCCTCTCCTGTCTCGCCCGCTGCTCCCCTCAGCAGTGTGTTTCAGTCAGTCTGCCTGTTCTGCTCCCTGCTCTGTCTCTGGTGAATTCTCTTACGCTCCCTCACCTCGGACCTGTACCCCAGCTCTTGTATAAATAAAAATAAATCTTTTTTTTAAAAAAAGAAAGAGTTGGGGGTCTGGCAGGACTCAGTGTCCTTTTGCTGTTTGATGACACCACCTTTCAGACTGACAGGCAGAAGATTGAAGGTTATAAACAAGTTTCTTGGGGAAGTGGGGAGAGGAAGGTCAATTTCTGCTTATCCCATGAACCAGAGACATTCGTCTTCCATTTTTTCTTTTTTTTTAGTACATAAAAAAGAATCAGAGCGTGTATCTCTATGGCAAGCAAGGGGAAACTTTGTCAAAATATGGAATAAACTGCTGTCAGTGAATTCCTACCACTGCGGATTCCTTTCAAACAAGTTTCAAAAGCAGAGGCCTAAGAGACAAGAACGGGCTGCCCCAGCCCCAGGCCTGGAATACCGAACACACAGGACTCCAATGACCCTGAGTTTCAAAGATGCCTTTAGTGGCTGAGGACCAAGGACCAGACATCTCCCCCACTGAGCCTGGGAGTGCTTCCTGGGGACAGGCCAGCACATCCATCCCAAGGCCAAACAGAGAGGCAGTGGGCCCAAGGCCTTTGCACCTCCTCCCCGGTCTGCCGGGCATGCCTCTCTCTTTCCAGCTCATGGAAAGAAGTGGTCAGTACTTGGAAATCCTGCAGCCCGAGAGACAGCAGAAAGCTTACCTTATCAGGAAAATATTCAAATGTGAGCGTATAGGATTTTCAAGCCATAAACCACCAGAAGCAGCAGAAAGGTGGTACCTCAGCGGTAGCTCCAAAACTGAGACTGATTAGACAGTTCTGTGTGGCGAAATTGCACATTCCATGACTTCCCATTTTTTTCTCAGCCCCTTTTCTGGGTAGATCACTTTCTGTCTTTTCAATACAGAAGCAGCACTGCATCCACAAGCTGCTACATTTCTTTGGTTTACAAGAAATATGACAGTTTCTTCGGCACCAGGATTGTATTTTGTTTTCAGAAACTGGCAGAGATTAAAGATGTGTAGAATCCTAGCTCATAAATCCTAGCTTATCGGCTCTGTTATCTATAAAAATGGAAGTTTTAAAAATAAATTAACAGAGTGGAACTGTAAGAACTTAAAAAATGAACTGTGCTCAAATTAAAATGCTACATAGGATAATTTTATGAACAAGCCAAGATGACTTAATATAGTTGATGCACCTCAAGCCACAGTGAATTTTTTTTAAATTAAGGAATATAAGCCAAATAAGCTTGTAGGAAGCAATAGCAGAAGATAAATTGAGCCATTAAAATTGGTTACTGTAGGAGGTAGAAATAGAGGGTGGTAGGTGGGGAACTATTAACTTTGTCTTTGAACTGTTTTTCTTCTTACAAGCCTATCTTATTTTAATAATTAAAAGAATCGCATAATTAAGATCGCAACCAAAAAATAACTTTAAAACCTAGACAAGGAGAGCGTATTGCCCCCCCCACCCCCCGCTTTTGCCTCTAAGTTTCCAAAGATCTAGAAATTTTCATTTGTGAGAAGCAAGCAGAGATGGCGAGGCAGGAGGCAGAGGGAGCTGGAAATGTCTACAGTACAAGCAAGATAACTTTTATCCCTGGATTTCTTTAAAGCTTCTCTCCCAAGAAGTTCAAATGGTCCCATGGTTAGCATCATGCTTCTCTTACACGATGCCACGCAAAGGACTGTGACTTCAAAGAGGACCCCAGGGGGACACACTCCACAAGAGGCATCGATACAAAGTGAGCTCAGAAAGGACGGATTCGGGGAGCAGAGCTGGCTGCAGGGGCTGGAGGGGTCAGGCCAGGCCCCCCGGGGCAGAGGGGGTCAGTGGCTTTCTGTCTGGCCTGGCTGCTGAGCTGGTCCTCACACCTGTTCTGTGGGGTCAGCGTGGGAGGGGTCAGCGCCACCAGCCTGTCCTCCGCCCTGCACCGCAGCTGTTAAACGCCCAGGAAATTCCAGCCTAATCCTGGCTGGCTCCGTATGCAGCCTCTACCCTTTAATCCACCTTGGCTGTGGGCTCAGTGGCTCTCTCTTGAGGCTCTGGCCTCCCGCCTTGCACAGGAGCCCGGAGCAGACAGCGAGGAGGTGGCTGTCCTCCAGTGCCTCCAGCCTCTGCTGCCTGACTGGAGAAGCCACTGTGTGGATCACCCAGCAGAGGACAGCCCCGTGTCCCTCGAGGCCTCCAGCCCCCGGCACAGAGGCAGACGCCAGAGCCACCTGTTTCCGGCCACGGAGCCGGGGGAGGCTCTTAAGATGCAGGCGGTGTCTGGGTCTAGCCAGCCAGCCACTTAGAACGAGCCACTCCGCGCTGCGCTGACCGGGGACACGTGTGGCTGTGGAAAAGGGCAGAAGGGAGGTGTTGGGGCGGTTCTATAAGAGAGACGAGTAAGTGGGAGATGGTGGAAGAAAGCCAGGGATGCCAGGACCAGAGCCTGTGTAAGGGAGACGGGCGTGCTGGGAGGGCGTGTGTGCACACGCGTGTGTGTGTGTGTGTGTGTGGATGTGAGTGGGTCTGAGACTGCAGAACAGTGCAGCTCGGGGCGGCCCCCATGAGCCTCCCCCTCACCTGCACCTGTCTCTACTCCCCCCCACCCCCGGCCCTCTGCCCCAGGACTTGCTGCTGGGAGAAGAGGAAAGGCCAACCCGAGGCTGCCCAAACCCTCCAGGCCCCGCCATGGCAAGTCCCTTCCTCCTAGTGGGGACCCAGGGCCTGCACCCAGGTCAGGACATGGCGAGGGCCATGAGCGCCTGGCCCCGAGGAGGAGCCGTCCTGCCCCCACAGTCCAGCCCATCACTGCCTGTTGCTGCCCAGCGTTCTGGTGACACAGCAGTCTTGGCCAGCCATCTTCCTGTACCCCGAATGAGCCGATGGGCTCCCGAGGGCACTAGGCGCCCCCACCCTAACCCTCCTCAAGTCCACTGCCCTGAAAGAGCCCAGCGGGCCTGCTGACAGTGCCCGCGGCCTCCCTCTCACCCGCGCTCCATGCCTGGACAGCTCCCTGGACCGCACGGCTCTCAGCTGCTTCCCCAGCGCCAGCAGCTCCCCTCTGGAGCCTGAGCAAGATCCCCTGGCAGGTGGAGGGCCCGGGCTAACTGATTGGGAACAGGCCCAGCTGCTTCTCTCCATGGGCACTGCCAGGGACATTACAACATTGGCTATGCTGGGATCATGCCAGCTCCCCTAGGGATGGGAGGAGACAGGGTGCCAGACAGCCAGGACGGGTGGGTGGGGGTGTGGGGCAGGCAGGGCCAAGCACCTCAGATGCAAAGATGGGGTGGAGCTGGGGCAGTGGCCAGGGGCAGCCTGACAGCTCTGTGACTTGGGGGTTACCACCAGGGAGCGCGAACCAAGGCTCCCCTCCACTCCAAGGTTTAGGAGTGGTGATGGGGTGGTGGGGGGCAGGAAGGCCGTGGGGTGCGGGAGGGGGCGGGGAGGGGACAGGTACGGATCAGCCTCCTTGCTCCTCCCAGCCCCAGGAGTTGGAGAGATGCCACTGGAGTCCCCGGGGTGGGCAATTAATTTCCAAAGGCCAGGAGCCTGGCCTCCACTGCGGGGATCCCCATGTCAAGACCCCAAAGCCAGAGCCAGAGGAGCATCTCTGGAAACACTGTAGAGAGGTCCCAAAGCGAGGGCCAGGGGGGATCAATGCTGGCTGGTCAAACGTGGCCACTTTGCACCCCTCACGAAGTCGTTCTCACCTCGGGAAGGGGTGCCCAGCGTTCCCCCAGGACGCCCCCAGGGACGTGCAGAGGCCCTGCCCGGAGGGTTCCTCTACTTTTGCAAACCTTAGTCCCTCTGTCGCCAACACACCGCCCCCTCCAGCCCCAGAGCTGCCTGCGATCCCGCCCCGCGCCCCCGATCCGAGGCTCACCTTGCTGCCGGCTGCAGGCTCCCGGGTCTGCGCCCCCAGGGGCCCGGAGCTGGAGGCGCGGATCCCGGCGCTCGCGTGGCGCTGCCCGCGTCTCCACTCGGTCCGGGGACGCGCTCCCGCCGCCCGGGTGCGTGGGGCGCCGCGGGGCTCCGGCCCGCGCAGCGGGGGGCGGCGGCCGGCGGGCGGCAAGGGCTGCTCCGGGGGCGGGGCGCGGGGCGCGGGGGATCGCGCGGGGCCCGCGTCGCGCTCGCCGTCGCCACGCTCGGTTGCGGGGCCGGCCGCCCGCTGCTCGGCTCGGGAGCGGCGGCTGGAGCCAGCGCCGCCCGGCCCGCCCCTCCGCGTCCCTCCCCGCCCGGCCCGCCCCCTCCGGCCCGCTCCGCCGCCTCCCGCTCGGCTCTTCCGGGGGCCCCGGCGCGCCCCGCCGGCCTGGGCTGCGCGCGCGGGGGCGGGCGCGCGGGCTGGGCGCGGGGCTGGGCGCGGGGGCAGCGCTCGGGGCTGGGCGCGGGGCTGGGCGCGGGGCTGGCCCGGAAGCCCCGGGCGTCCCGGGGGCCGGGGCGGCGGGCCGGGGGTGGCGCGGCCGAGCGCCGGGGAGGCGCGCTCCAAGCCCCGGAGCTGCGGGGCGCGGGGCCCAGGGCGCGGAGCGCACCCGCGGGCGCTGGAGGCGCGCTCTCCCCTCCCAGCACTTCGCCTCCAACTCTAGGAACGAGCCCCCCGTTTCGCTTCCTGCCCAGGTTTGAACCGAGGTGGGCGTGAGCCGAGAAACAGCAGGGAAAGAAGGGGCGGGGGAGAGGCGCACGGAGACACCCCGAGGGGCCGGGGGCGGGCGGGGGCGGCTCGCCGCCGGGGAGGGGGCGTCTGGGCGGGGCTCCGGCGCGAAAGCGCCTCGGACCGCGCCTGAAAGTCTCCTCCCCGCGGGGCCCCCGCACCGCGGGCTGCGCCCGGGCTCCTGACGCCACCCCCGGCCCCTCCGCCCTCGCCGAGGGCCGGGAAGCCCGGGTGTGAAAGGGGCGGGCCCGGGTCGCAGCCAGGCTCTGACGACGCCCGGGCAAGTCGCTGCACCTTTGGGTGCCGCCTCCCCGCCCGCTCCCGGGGAGACCAGCCCTCCCGGAGGCGCGTCCGCGTTCCCCGCGGGTGCTGCGCGCGGCGCTGGCGGGGAGCGGGGCGCCGCGGCGGGGGGGGGGGGTCGCGCCCAGCCTCGCCTCTGCGCACCCCGGGCAGCGCGGGGTCTTTTGTTCGCCTCCCCCGGCGCGCGCGGCGCCTCCCCGCGAGGCGCGGCCACCACCTGCTGGCGCCCGGGCGCAGCGCAGCGAGGCGCGGCCACTGTCGGGGCCTCTGCGCCCCCCGCGCCCCCAGCCCCGCAGCACCCCGTCCCGGCGCAGCCTCCCGCGCCGTTGACTCAACACGCGCTTGTAAAGCACCAGCTGCGCCCGGGCCCTTCACCACTGGTAGTTGAGAAGCATCCAGAAACCGAGGAAAATTGTGGCAGGGATCAGGAGCCTAGAGCACCCTAAACAGAACAATGAACCCCTCAGCAGGCACCTGGGCGAAGGCGCAGGCCCTAATGAAGGGGCAGAGTGAGGGGTGCAAGGATCGGGCGTCGGAACCAGAGGGAGGGGTGATCACTTGCCATGTCTGGAGTCGGGGAATAAGCCTGATGATGCTGGGGAGGCCGCGCCCCCACACCATCCACGAGTCCAGGGCTGTGGCCAGGCCCCCCACGGTCCCCCACAGCCCCCCCACAGCGCCTTCCCTGTGCTCGGACGCGCTGCAGAGAGCTGCCTTCCTGGGCAGAGGAGCTGTCTCCAAGACCAGAAAGCTGAATTTACAAAATTGCGAATTTTGTAACCATGGCCCTACATAGATGTGCCAGGGGCTGGTGACCAGAAAGCTATGGGTGTATTGGAAACTTTAAAAAAGCATTTTAGATTTTATAACTCAATGAAACACAATTAAATGACAAGGAAATAGAAGTGTCAACAAAACCAAAACTTAGAGGCTCCTTGATAGATCCTGGCGGTCAGCAGCCACACAGTTTGTAGGTGCTGTTCCACCACTCTAGGCCTCGCTTTTGTGGCCACCCTGTGCCCTCAGATGCGAAAATACGAAATGAACTCTTTGTCGCTCACGTCTAATGTACTTAGTCCTTTTTCTTTTGTTCATAAAATTCAAGAGGCATCTAATCTTCAAGGAAAGTGCCACTGCCATCTCGAGGCAGGGGGATTTGAGTTTGTGATTTATCCTTGGCCCTGCGTCCCAATCTCCTCGGTGTTAGCAGCAGTTTCTAGAGCCGTAAAGGTAGGTGGGTAGCACCGAATGCATTAGCTCTGGCTGCCATCTGCAGCTATTAAAAAGCGAAGTAATGAACCCTTTTTAAAGTTGAACATAAATTGTTGCTATAATTTGTGGAGCGCCTGTCACTCACGAGGTGCTTAGAAGCATTGTAGAAGGAGTGAATGAAAAACACCAGTGTTTCAACCTGTTCTGTGCGGCGGGACAGCTCCAGATAAAGTCAGTGGCTCACAGAATTCATTATCTGGGAACACTGTCCTCTCTGTAGCCCCGAGGAGCTCCAGGGGAGAGAGCTCTGGAGGAAATGGGGGGCTCCTTATATTGTTTCTTTCTCTTTTTTTCTCTCTTGCCACCTTCTTGGGCTTTTCTGTCTTCGACATCTATCGCTCCCCAAGGAGGCGCAATTTTCTTCTTATTTCCCTTTAGGATGGCTCTGGCAAGCTGATGCTATTATACGCCGACAACTTTACTAGTCATTTCAGTGATAAGAATTCCAGTAAAAAAAAAAAAGAAGTAAAGCAATTTCCTGAGGTCCCGGATCCCCTATTTCTAGTTACAGCCCCAGCTACAAACCATGGGAGCTCAGGTCCTTCGTGCAGCCGTCTGAGACCCGTGGCCTCCTCATTCCTGCCTACTCCGGAACAGTCATTTGGTCTCCAAACATTCTGCTCAATAGAAGTGTCAAATGCTCATTTTTTATAAGTAAACACTCTCCGCCCCCCCAACACCCCCCACCCCCAGGCTTCAGTCCTCTGGAGTGTTTTGAAGGTTCGCTTCCAATACTGGCTTGTTTGAAAGACAAATCTAGTAGTTTGAAACAGATGTTAGACCAATGTGATTGGTATTGATTGCTCTCTGAAAGTGAGTCATCTCAAGTTTATCCACACATTGACATTGCTTTAACCAAGCAGTAATAAAAAAAGACTTTCCGAGGGTTGAGTACACAGAGGAGGCCTTGTCTCCCAAAATAGATGCTCAGTCTGATAGAGGTTGACTTCGGGTTCATGAAACAGAAAAGTTGTACAACAGCAGTTTAAACAAATTGACCAATCCAGAATGTTCTGGAAGCCCCAGTCCACAAGACTTACTTTCTGCTCTCCAACTTGAGGGTGAGACCTTATTCTCAGGTTCAACATGTCGGCCATGTTTCATTAGATCATAAAAGACTCAAGTCTTTTCATTTCAGTGAAGAAAAAGATGAACACAGAATAAAGAGGGCACAGTTTCAGCAGAGTCAGCACCTTTTAAAAAAACCTTTCTGGAAACTCCACCCAATAACTCCTTATATATTATTGGATGGACCATGTCCCGTGACTGCCTCTGGCTGCCAGGGACTGCAAATTTGCGCAGCATTTATTGAATAAATACTTAATAATTTCAATAAAATTAAATTGTGTTTATTTTTAAAATTTATCCAATGTATTAGATACATAGTATTTATTAAAGTTAAATTTCATTCAGCATTAATTTAGGTAAAGTGACAGAGGATGAAAGAAAGATTATTAGTCAACCACCAACCTCCACCACCAGGGAGCCCGGACAATGGTGATTAGCTACATGTGCTGCAATTGCAAAGATGGGGGCTTTCCACAGGCCACTGCATGTGATTTAGGGGAAGAGGTTCACCCCTGCTCAGTTTAATGCATATTTTTATGTTCACAGAGGAGCCCGAGGGAGTTAGTGGAGGGGATGCAAGTAGAGTCCGCTCACTAAAACAACAATGACACCACCTCAGAAGAAACGCAAAGACTCCTCCCCAGTTACTTGTATAAAACAAGTGAAATGAGTTGAAGACATTCTAGGTTTTAGTAAGAATCTGGGCTGTCTCCATGGGCGGACAGAGCTGGTAAGTGCTCCTCACTACCCTGCTTCTACTTTTCCCTTCAATCCAGACAGGAGATGGGCTGGTGGGTGATGTAGAACCACTGATGCCAAGGGCTGCCCTTCCAGTCCATGCAGCCTTGTCCTCTTCCTTGGGCTCAGATGCCCAAGGGCGGCCTGCTTGGCTCTGGATATGACAGGAGCACTTCCTGGTTCCCAGGCCTCTCCCCCTCCCTTGGGTTTTCCTCTCTTACTTGATATGGGATCCTGGGACCTCACCCATCACATCCTTAAGCACCAGTAACAAAGGGAACGAGTCACTATCCAGAATGAATAAAAAAAAACAAAACAAAACAAAGATCTTTTAAAAATCTGAGGCAAAGTGCAAAAGGAGTAAGGATGTAAGACTATAAAGAAAAAAGTCTTCACTTTATAATCTCAGTGACTTAAAAGCAGATACGGAAACTATTTTAAAAGGTTGAGATAAAAAGGGAGCGAAGAAAAGGCAAAGTACAATAGCCAAAATAAAACTTCAGTCATGCAGAAAGAGGAAAAAAAATGATTGAAAGCTCCAGGAAGAAACAAACAAGTAACATCTAACATGAACGTGGGCAGGCATTCAAGATGTGAGACATAAATAGGTTATTTTTTAAATAACAGAGAAGGTAAAAGTTCTGGAAAGCACAATAGAGAATTCTAACCTTAATGTCACTGTAATTTAGAATGTGACAAACCAAGTCACCAGAGAAAAGAAAAACAAAAACAAAATTAAGGAAATTTATTTTAGCATCTGACACTTATTAAGTAGTTAACAAATGTTTATTAAATAGTGAGATTAACTAAAAGAGTCATGAGAATGAAAATTTAAGAGACTTTGCCACCTTATGAGCAAAACTGATCAGCAGAAATCATTGCCAGGATGTATTCTGGTAGAAGTTTTCCACTTAATATCTTAGCCATTTATACACACACAAAGAATTTACTTTTGAAGATCAAACAACAGAATGTTCAGATTCTTCTCCGGGCTTTGGTGAATGAGAAAGTAGTGGGGCAATGTCTTAAGTGTTTTCAGAAGGAAAAGATAAAACACTATTGATCAGCTTGTGAAAAGCCATGTCAACTCTCGTCCCTTGCAGATACGGAAATTGTTGAGTCCAGGAACGAAATAATCATTATCCTAGCCTTGCTTATAGCTTGGAGTGGATACGAGGTCTAATTCTGGATCACAAGAAGAAAAGAAAGTTCTGTTGGGCTGCTTCTCAGAAAGCTTTGGATTTCTATAAAAAGACACAGATTTGGCTGATACTGCCCTGCCTCCTTTGTCTTGCTTTGAAATCACCCCTTGGACATTGTTTCCATCAAAGTCACAAAGTACTTTGTAATTGAAAACAACACAAATGTTATTCCTTTAATGTTCTGGAGGTCAGAAATCATAAATAGGCATAAGTGGGCTAAGAAAGCATCCAGGTAAAGGTAGGACAGTGCTCCTTTTGGATACTCTAGAGAGACTGTCTTCTTACCTTTTCTAGCATGACTGCTGGAGGCCAAGCCATTCCTGAACTCACGGCCCTCTCTGTTCTCAAAGCCAGCAGTGCTGCCTGAATCTTTCTATGCTGACTCTTTTCTGTCTCCATCTTCTGTTTATAAGGATCCTTGGGATTATACCGGGCCCACCCAGACAATCCAAAATAGTCTCTCCATCTCAAGATCGGTTGATGAGAGGCCTTAATTTTATCTGCACCCTTAATCCCATTTCACCGTGTAAACGAACATAAAATATTCCAAGGAATAGAACTTGGATCTCATTGGGGAGAAATTATTCTCCCAATCACAGACATGAAACCAGGAGCTGTAGCAGCCATATTGGCAGTAAAACAAAAGCCAGCAACCATGTACGCTTCTTGTTACATGAGAAAAATACACACCTGTACTTGTGATTTCTGTTGCTTGCAGCTTCATACATCTCTAATAGATACAGACTCTGTTCAAAAATAAAATTAACAATTAAAGAGGTTAAATGCTCAAAGATTCATTAATTAGGCAGCATCCTGCCTGCCTAGATCCTGGAAGGGCTCACACAAAGTGGAGGGTGTTTATAAGCAGAAAGGGTGAGGCAAAGTTAGTAGCAAATGAAATTATTTCAGGAAAACCATTTTCCTTCAGGGAAAGGTCTTATGCAGATGACCTCATGGTGCTGATTAGGAAAGTCCAGATTGACTGGTGTGGGATGGTCCTTGGGGGAGAGATTGAAACAGCAATACTTTTTTTTTTTAAGATTTATTTATGCATACAAAAGCTGGGGTACAGGCCAGAAGCGCGGGGGTGAGAGGATTCACCAGAGACAGAGTGGGGAGCAGATCAGGCAGACTGATGAAATACACTGCTGAGGGGAGCAGCGGGCGAGTCAGGAGAGGTCTGCTGCGCCATGTGGGTTGCTCCCTGGCTGGCCGGTAATTGAACTCATGCTGCAATGGCTGCAGACAGCTTCATAGGTTGCATCTTAACACTTGCGCCACCAGGGAGGCCCAGCAATAGGTATTAAGTGTGGGTGGAGGCCCAGCATGAAAGCCCTTATTTCCATTTTTATCAACTCAAATATTATATCCCCAGCCAATGCCTTATTCTTTCAAAAGCAACTTCAGAACTGCAACTTCTTAGAACATTTACCACTCAAATCTGTTTTCCAGTGAGACGCATTACAAATGTACTCTGAACAATTAAGAGATGAATAAGCAATTGCATTCTTCATTAGGGAAGCTGTGATTGAGAAAAAGGGGCTATAATCACTGAAAGGATCTGGAATTGTAGGATAAATAAAATACAAAAACAAATCGTAAACCTGCAAATCACTAACCTAAGAGGAAAATTAAGTAATTGAAGGTAATTATGCAACAAAAGGAAAATATTCAATGTAAATATGATAAGAAAGTATTTTTTAAAGATTTTTTTAACTCTAGATTTTATATCAAAATATAAGAGGAAAAAAGCAAAGATGGGGTTGTCATCTGTAGTAACGTCCTTGACATTCATCAAAGGAAGTCAATAGTACTGTTGGCATAATTAGGTAAAAAAGAATTTTAATGTTTTATGATAATCATTTAAGATTATCTTTTAAATAGGATATTAACCTTAAAAGTCATAGATAAAAGATAAAAGTAAACACTATAATTCATTCATCCAGAGGCAAAATAGATCAAAGATAATGACGAAGCATTAAAAAATAAGAAGCATAATTGGAGTGACAGATGTCAAATCAAGTGCAAAGTCCTAAGAAGGATGATATTCTACAACAAGATCCATAGTAAGTTACTGGGATAAGTACAGTGTGAAATTTCTTCATAGCAAAAAAAGCAAATCTGTTTCACATTTATAATATATTTAAATGAACTGTTGTCTTTTGCATTTCTAGAGCTATTTATATAAATAGTATTTTGGGACCCTTAACCCCTTAGTTCCTTAAATAAGGATGGAGGCATCAGTGACAGTACAAAGTAATCCTGTTGATTTTGAAATATTTAAATCAGGGAGCTTAAACACACACACACACACACACACACACACACACGGATAGAAACGAGAAAGAAATTGCCATTCTTCTTCTCTCTTTGCTTCCAACCCCTCCTCCTTTTCTGGCCCGGCCCCCATACCTTCACAACTCAAGGAGACATGGGAAGATGTTGACACATCTACCAAACTGATAAGACTCTTAAGCAATAATTTCAATGCTTCATCTGAGCTTTTGTGTAGCTAAAGCAGCAGTCATGAAAAGGGATAAAACTTCGAAATGAGCTCCCTTTTTATTTATTACAAACTCAAAAGGATGCCGTGTGAAAGTGAGGGATGTTTTAAAAAAAAAAAGTTAGTCATATTCAAATTCAATAAAAGTATAGGCTTAAAAACTTCAACCGCTTTAAATGAAAACATGAAATTATTTATTACCATATTGGAAAATAGATTTCGTAACTGGATCAGAGGCATTCATTCCATTCAGAGTAGATTAATGAAGTAATAGCATTTGACAGATAATGTAAAATGTTAAATGCAGCTAGTGTAAATTACAGAAATTTTCCAAGTTAACTCTTATTAAATCCTTGCTGACAACTTCCTTTTGTTCGTTTCCGCAAACCTTTTAATTACCTAAAAGGAGTTTTTCTAACACTGCTGTTCATAATAGTGTAATAAATACATTTTTATGGGCAAGGAGATGTTTACTAATTGTTAGACAGTTAGGACCTTCCTCCTTGGAATTTTATTCTGTACTATCTGTGAGAATTAATATTTGGCCCATGAGTGGTACTTCTCTGAATCACTATTACCTATTAGCTACTAGAAGAAAAAATGTGGCATATTTATGACTCACAAGGGTTGCAAGATGAAGGAGAATGGATTTAGTGTCACTCTGTACTACTCTGGAGACTTCAGAGCAAAGAATTCAGAATCTCCCCCAAAAGAGATTTTTAAATACAGAATAATTTAGTGCAGTATATAAAAAGGGGATGGAAAATGAGATATCAATGCTACTTTCCTTGGGAAAAAATTCAATACTCACTGTCGTTCAAACTAATCTTTGTACTTGGAGGGATTTTTCTCTCTTCTGTCATCTAGTTAATTCCTGCTCATTCTTAAAATCTCAGCTCAATGCCCAGAAATAAACCCTCCATATAAGGGCAATTGATTTTTGACAAGCAAATAATGTAAAATGTGAAAAGCAACTAGTGTAAATAATCCATGCAAAGGCCATTGAATGAGGAAAGGGCAATCTTTTCAACAAATAGTGCTGAGCGAACTGGATAGGCACATGCAAACGAGTGAAGCTGGACTCTCAACTTACACTATATAGTAGATACAATATTTGACTCAAAATGTATTTAAGAGCTGAAATAATGAAAGTACTAAAAGAAGACATCGAGAGAACGCTTCATGACCTTGGGTTTTCCAACAATTTCATGAGCATGACATCAAAAGCACAGATACCAAAAGAAGAAATATAGCAGGAATCTAGAAAACTTAAATAAGGGACCAGGAAAATGAATATAAGAAAGTGAAAATCAAAATGAACAAAAAACTATGAACCAGAGACACTTTTTGGGGGGTGGGGGGCGGGAGGGGAAGGATTGGGGTCAGAATGGGGCGTTTGCATTTGTATGGGGGAATATAAAAATAAAATTTATTATTTAAAAAAACAAACAAACAAACAAACAAAAAAAAAGAAATAAGTTTCACTTCACCAAAACTAAGAACTTTTGTGCATCAAAGGATACTAGCAAGGAACCAAAAGGCAGTCTACAGAATGGGAAGAAGTACTTGCAAACACTGTCTGATCAGTAATTAATATCATTGGAATATGGAAAGAGCTCCTGAAAATCAACAACAAAACGAACCACCCAATTCATAAATGGGCCAAGGACATGAATAGACATTTCTCCACAGATGATATACAAATGTCAGCTTTGCACAGTGGCAGAGTCTAAGCTAATGAGGTTTATCCAGGGTGTAATTCTTGCTAACTGAAAATATACAAATATGCAATAAGCACATGAATAGATGCTCAACATCATTTGCCATTAAGAAAACACAAAGCAAAACTACAATGAGATACCACTTCCCACTTTGGTATAGCTATAATCTGAACACACACTAGGATGGCTATAATTTAAAAAACAGCATAACAAATGTTGGTGAGGATGTGAAGAAATTGGAAGTTTCTTTTGCACTACTGGTGGGAATGTAAAATAGTGCAGCTGTGGTGGAAAACAATTTGACAGTTTTCTAAACACCTAAACATAGAAATACCACATGTTGGGCCTCCCTGGTGGCACAAGGGGTTAAGCACTATACTATGAAGCAATCTGTAACCTCTGCAGCATGAGTTCAATCCCCGGCCAGCCAGAGAGCACCCCACATGGCAAAGCAGACCTCTCCTGTCTTGCCCACTGCTCCCCTCAGCAGTGTATTTCAGTAGATCCGCCTGTTCTGTTCCCCACTCTGCCTCTGGTGAATCCTCTCACCCCTGCACCTCTGGCCTGCACCCCAGATCTTGTATGCATGAATAAATAAATCTTAAAAAAAAAGAAATACCACATGTTGCAGGCATTTCATTCATAGGTATTTATCCAAAAGAATAGAAAGCAGGGATTAGAAGAGATATTTGAACACCAGTGTTCATGGCAGCTTTATTCATAATATCAAAGAGGGAGTAATAACCCAAGTGTTCATCAAAAGATGAATGGATAGGCCTCCCAGGTGGCACAGTGGATTGAGTGCAGTGCTGTGAAGCTGTCTACAGCCTCTGCAGCACGGGTTTGATCCCTGGCCGGCCAGGGAGCTACCCACATGGCGCAGCAGACCTCTCCTGTCTCTCCACTGCTCCCCTCAGCAGTGTATTTCAGTCCTTCTGCCTGTTCTGCTCCCCACTCTGTCTCTGGTGAATCCTCTCACCCTCCCGTGCCTCTGGCCTATAACCCAGTGTTTTTATAAATAAATAAATCTTTAAAAAAAAAAAGATGAATGGATAAACACAAGGTGGTATACGCATACAGTGGAATGCTAGGCAGCCAGAGAAAGGATAGGCTTTTTATTTATTTTTTTGGTGTAGAAGAATTGGGGAGTAGGCCAGAGGTGTGGGGATTGAGAGGATTCACCAGAGACAGAGTGGGGAGCAGAACAGGCAGATTGACCAAAGTACACTGCTGAGGGGAGCAGAGGGTGAGACAGGAGAGGTCTGCTGCGCCATATGTGGGTCAGCTCCCTGGCCGGGGGATGGAACTCAGGCCATGGTGGGGATAGGGCTGAGACCTAACCTCTAAGTCACCAGGGAGGCCCTGGATTGACATCTTGATATATACCGCACGGATGGATCTTGACATACGATGCTTAGTGAGAGAAGCCAGAATAGATAATTCATAGACAGAGACAGAACATAGAATTAAGGGGCTGAGAGGGAGGTAGGGAGGGTGGAAGGACCTTCCCTTTTTTTTGGGTTGGGGAAGATGAAAAAGTTTTGGGCATAGAGAGCGGTGATGA